AGTGATAATTAATTTTATGTGTCAACTTTCTAGGCAATGGTACTCAGCTATTTTGTCAAACAGCAGTCCAGATTTTTATGTGAAGGCATTTTAACAATGAGGTTGACATTTATTTACTTTTTAATGTTTTATTTATTTCTGAGAGACAGAGACAGAGAGAGAGAGACATACAGAGACCGAGACAGAGAGACAGAGACAGACAGACAGAGAGAGAGAGAGAGAGAGAGAGAGAGAGAGACAGCGTGAGCAGGGGAGGGTCAGAGAGAGAGGGCAATATAGAATCTGAAACAGGCTCCAGGCTCTTAGCTGGCACTCAGCACAGAGCCCGAGGCGGGGCTCGAAACCACAAACTATGAGATCATGACCTGAGCCGAAGTCGGACGCCTAGCCGACTCAGTCACCCAGGCGCCCCAACAATGAGGTTAACATTTAAGCCCATAGAAAGACTGAGAGGTTTTCCCTAAGGTCAGGGACAGGACAAGAATGTTCATTCTCATCACTTTTATTCAACACAAATAATATGGCTAGGAAGCCCTAGCCATAGTAATCAGACAACATAAAGAAATAAAAGGCATGCAAATTGGTAACGAAGAAGTCAAACTTTCACTATTTGCAGATGACATGATACTCTATATAGAAAATACTGAAGAGTCCACAAAAAAAAAAAAAAAAAAAAAACAACTGCTAGATACACAAATTCAGTAAAGTTACAGGATACAAAATCAATGTACAGAAAATGTTTAAATTTCTATACATCAATAATGAAGCAGCAGAAAGAGAAATTAAAGAATCAATCCAATTTACAAGTGCACCAAAACCAATAAGATACCTAAGAATAGACCAAATCAAAGAGAAGAAAGACCTGTAATCTGAAAACTATAAACACTATTGAAGGACACTGGAGATAACACAAAGAAATGGAAAACCATTCCATGTTCATGGATTGGAAGAACAAAAAATTTTTTAACAAAAATATTGTTAAAATGTCTATACTACCCAAAGCAATCTCCATATTTAATGTGATCCCTATCTAAATACTAACAGCATTTTTCACAGATATAGAACAAACAATCCTAAAATTTGTAGGGAACCACAAAAAACCTCGAATAGCCAAAACAGTCTTGGAAAAGAAAAGCAAAGGTGGAAGCATCACTATTCTGAACTTCAAGTTATACTATAAATCTGTAGTGATCAAAACAGTTTGTAACTGGCAGAAAAACAAACACATAGATCAATGGAAAGGAATAGAACACCCAGAAATAAACCCACAACTATATGGTGGATTAATGTTTGACAAAGCTGGAAAGAATATCCAATGGGGAAAGGACAGTGTCTTCAACAAATTGTGTTGGGAAAACTGGACAGCAACATGTAAAAGAGTGAAACTGGACCACTTTCTTACACCATACATAACCCTAAATGTGAGACCTGAAACCATAAAATCCTAGAAAAGAACACAAGCAGTAAGCTCTTTCACATTGGCCATATCAACTGTTTTCTACATGTTTTCTGAGGCCAGGGAAACAAAATAAAAAATAAACTATTGAGAGTACATCAAAATAAAAAGCTTCTGCAAAGCAAAGGAAACAATCAAGAAACTAAAAGGCAATCTATAAGATGGGAGAAGATATTTGCGAAGGAAATATCTGATAAAGGGTTATTATCCAAAATTTATAGAGAACTTAAACTCAACATACTGAAATGAATAATCCAATTAAAAATGAGCAGAAGACAAGAACAGACATTTCTCCAAGGAAGACATCTAGATGGCCAACAGACACATGAAAAGTTGTTCATCACTTACCATCAGGGAAATGAAAATCAAAACTACGAAGATATCACCTCTCACCTGTCAGAATGGATAAAATCAACAACACATGAAACAACAGGTGTATCAAGGATGTGGAGAAAAAGGAACACTCATGCAATGTTAGTGGAAATGCATACTGGTGCAGCTACTGTGGAAAACGGTTCCTCAATAACTTAAAAATATACCTACTCTATGATCCAGCAATTGTACTACGAGGTATTTACCCAAAAAATACAAAAAAGACTGATTCAAAGTGACATGTGCACCCCTATGTTTATGGCATCATTATTTACAATAGCCAAGATGTGGAAGCAGCCCAGATGTCCATCTATTGATGAATGGATAAAGAAGATATATTATATATATTAAAATTTATAATAATAATTTATAATATTAATTACATATATATATTATTCAGCCATAATAAATAATGAAATCTTGCCATTTGCAATGACATGGATGGGGTTAGAGAGTATAATGCTAGGCATAATATGTCAGTCAGAGAGAGACAAATATCATATGATTTCAATCATATGTGGAGTTTAAGAAGCCAAAAAAAAATAGCTAAGAGACAAAAAGAAAGAGAAAGAAACCAAGAAACAGACTCTTAATTATAGAGAACAAATTGATGGGTTAAATCAATGATGAGGATTAAGGAGCACACTTGTGATAAGCACCAGATGATTCATGGAATTGTTGAATCTCTATATTGTACACCTTAAACTAATATAACACTATATGTTAACTGTCATTAAAATAAAAAATTTAAAAAAACATTTAAACCCATAGATTTTAAGTAAAGTAACATTGCTCTCAATAATTTAGGTGAACACAAGGGCGCCTGGTTGGCTCAGTCGGTTAAGTGTCCGACTTCGGCTCAGGTCATGATCTCACTGTGCATGGGTTCGAGACCCGCGTCGGGGTCTGTGCTGACAGCTAGCTCAGAGCCTTGAGCCTGCTTCAGATTCTATGTCTTCCTCTCTCTCTGACCCTCCCTCATTCGCTCTCTCTCTCTCTCGCTCTCGCTCTCTCTCTCAGAAATAAATAAAACATTAAAAAATTAAAAAAATAATTTAGGTGAACACAGTCATATTGTCTTGGTTCCTTCTCACTTGAAAATCCTAACATACCCACTTTATAGTTCTGCCTTATCCAGAATCTTGAATGGATTCATGTACTATGTAGCCTTTTACAATTGGCAGCCGGCATTCAAGGTTTATCCGGATATTTGCATGTTTCATTACAGTTTTTGTTGTACTAAAATGCATTAAAATTTACCATATTAAACATTTAAAGTGTACATTTCAATGGTGTTAACTATATTCATATTGTTATGAAGCACCTCCAGAACTTTTTGATCTTTCAAAACTGAAACTCCATATCAATTAAACAACTTTCTTCCCCCTGCTTCCAGACTATGTGAACTACTTTTCTACTCAAGTTTTCTCTGAATTTGACTAGATTAGATATCATATAAGTGCAATCATACAATATTTGTCTTTTTTGTGACTTGCTTATCTCACTTAGCATAATGTCCTCAAAATATATGCATGATATATCATGTGATAGTATTTGAATTTTGAGGGTGAAAATTATTTGATTATATGAATATACCATGTATCTTCTATCCATTTATCTGTAGATAAACAATTGGGTTGATTCAGCCTCTTAACTAATGTGAATAGTGCTGCTATAAACATAAGTGTACAAATATCTCTTCAAGAACCTGCTTTCAATTCTTTTAGATACATACCTAGAAGTGGGATTGCTGGGTCATATGGTAGTTCTACTTTAAGCTTTTGAGAAATTTCCATATTGTTTTCCATAACAGTTGCACAATTTTACAATCTTAGAGATAGTGCACAAAGGTTCTAATTTCTCCTCATCCTCACAAACACTTGTTACTTTTGTTTGTTTCTTTGGGATAATAGCCATTTTAGTTAGTGATATCTTTAGTAAGTGATATCTTATTGTAAGTGAAATCTTATTGATTTGCATCCCTTTTATAATACTTGATGTAGAATATCTTTTTATATGCTTTTTGGACATTTGCATATCATCTTTGGAGAAATGTCTATTCAACTCCATTTATTTTAATAACTCAGATTATTTAGTTTTTTGTTGTTGCATTAGAGATCTTTATTCTGGATATTAATCACCTATATGTGATTTGCAAAATTTTTCTCCAATTGCATAAACTACCTTTTCCCTCTGTTTATTGTGTACTTTTGTGCACAACAATTTTTAATTTTGATGTATTTTTGTCTATTTTTAATTTGTTTGCCTGTGCATTGAGTTTTCTATACAAGAATTCATCACTAACTTCAAGATCATGAAGATTTTCCCTGATGTTTCCTTGTAGGTGTTTTACAGTTTTGAGCTCTAAGCTTAGGTTTTTAATCCATGTTAAGTTAATATTGTATGGTAGAATATGAGTCTAAATTCATTTTTTGATTATAGATATTTTCCCAATACTATTTGTTGAAGAGACTGTCCTTTTTCAATTTAGTGGTCTTGGCACCCATGGTGAAGATGATTTGACCATAGATACTTGAGGGATTTCTAAGCTCTGTGTACTGTTCCTCTGGTATATATGTCTGAATTTATGTCAGTACCACACAATTTTAATTACTGAAGCTTTGAAAAGGGTTTTAAAATCAGGAAGTAGGAGAACTCCACTATTTAATGTTTTAAAAATATTCTTATAGGTTACATTTATTTATTTACATATTTATTGAAGTAGAGTTGACATAAAATGTTACACTGCTTTCATGTGAATTAGAACGCTATATCTCCCACTCCACATATCCATTTGGCCCATTCCTCCATCCATTTACCCTCTGGCAAGCACCACTTTGTTTCTGTATTTATGGGTCTGTTTCTGCTATATTTGTTCATTGGTTTTGTTTACTTAGATTCCAAATATATTAGTAAAATTAATACGGCATTTTTGTTTATCTGACTTATATCCCTTAGCATAACACTCTTTAGGTACGTCCATGTTGTCACAAAGATATAATTCTTTTGTTCTTTTATTTTTTAAAATTTAATGTTTTATTTGTTTCTGAGAGACAGAGAGACAGCGTGAGCAGGGGAGGGTCAGAGAGAGAGAGGAAGACACAGAATCTGAAGCAGGCTCCAGACTCTGAGTTAGCTGTCAGCACAGAGCCCGACACGGGGCTCAAACCCATTGATAAACTGGTGGATTTAATGTATCCTTGGAGGAGGTGAGTTTAGGATTTTTCTGTACATTGTCATCTTGGTCTGGAAGTGGGCTTAGTTTATTCTTTTTCTTGTTCCTTAAGGTGTAAACTTTAGTTGCTTGAGATCTTTCATTTTTTTAATGTATGGGCTTATCAACATAAGCTTTCATTTTAGAACTGCTTTTGCTGCATTATATTAGTTTTAGCATATTGTGTTTGCATTTTCATGTTTCAAGATATATTTTGATATCATGTTTGATCCATTGGTTGTTCAGGAATGTGTTATCCAATTTCCACATATTTGTGGATTTTTCAGAAATTTTCTTGTCAGTGATTTTTACTTTAATATCATTGTGGTTGTAAAAGATAGTTGGTAATTATTTATCTTATTAAATTTGTAAAGACTTCTGTGATGCATCTTAAAATATTGCGAAATGCTCAATGCATTTTGGTTGGGTCCATTTGGTTTAAAGTATAGATCTAGTCCAATGATTCCTTATTGATTTTTTTGTCTGGATAATCTACCCATTGTTGAAAGTGAGGTATTTAACATCCTTACTATTATTATTCTGTTTCCTGTTTTTCTCATAGAATCTGTTAATATCTGTATAATATATTTAGGCGTTCCAATGTGTGGAGCAAATATATTTATGATTGTTATATCTTCTTGATAAATTGATTCCTTCAACAATATATAATGACATTTTTCATATTTTTAACAGTTTTTAGCTTAAAGCTTATTTTGTCTGATGTAAGTAAAAATAGTAATTTTGTCTCTCTTTTGATTTCTCTTTCTAGGAATACTTTTTCCCGTGTCATCCCTTGAGCCCATGTATATCCTTAAAACTAATATGAGTCTCCATTGTATGTCAACTATACTCAAATAAAATAAATAAACAAAAACTACTGAGTCTCAAGTAGGCAGCATATAGTTGAGTCTTGCTTTATAATCCTTCCAGTCATTCACTACCTTTTGGCTGAAGAATTTAATCAATTTTGTGAAATAATTATTGCTGTTTAAGAACTTACCAAAGCCATATTTTTGTTTTCTGCAGTGGTGTAGGTCCTTTGTTCTTTTCTCTGTCTCATGCTTTTTCATTTGTCATTTGATACTTTTCCATAGAGATATGCTTGATTTTCTTAACTTTATTTCTTTTATATGTACTGTTAGGTTTTGCTTTGTGCTTACTATGTGGCCTAAATAAAAACATTTGATATATATTACAGTCTACTTTATGATGATAGTAACTTAATTTTTGATCACATAAAAAATATCTACCCATTTTCTCCCTCTTTATATTTGTAAAGTTACAATGTATCTACTATTATATTGTGTATTTATTGACACATTATTTTACCTATAGTTATTTTTATACTTTTGTCTTTTAAAATTTAGAGTTAATGGTAATATATCACCATATGACAACATGGAATTATTATAAATTTGACTATATACTTACCTTTACCAGTGCGTTTGTATATTTTCATGTATTTGTGTTACTAATTAGCATATTTACAGTTCACCTTGAAGATCTCTTTTTGACATTTCTTTAAGGCAGGTCTAGTGCTGATGAATTCCCTCAGCTTTTGTTTGCCTGGAACAGTATTTATCTCTCCTTCATTTCTGAAGGACAACTTTGCCAGATGGAAACTTTTTCATTGTCATTGTTTTATATTTAGAACTTTGAATATCTCATTCATCTTTCTATTGGCTTGTCAGGTTATTATTGAGAAGTTTATTGATAGCTTAATGGGATTCCCTTATAAGTTAAAACCTTTTTTTCCGTTATTGCTTTTAACATTTGCCTTTGATTTTTGACATTTTTATTATAATGTCTTATATTATATCTTGCTAAGAGTTCTGAATGTTTCCCAGACCTTCCATGGATGTGGCTACTACATGCTTCTTGCTCCCTCTTGTGGCAGAGTTCTTCTCAGCATTCAAGAGTCTCTCATGGTTTGCCTCTCTCTCCCTCCCTCACTATTTTCCACCTTCTTCTCCCCCACGGTCCTCCGTTAAGTTCCTCCTAATCCTCCTATACGTGCAAACATATGGTATTTGTCCTTCTCTGCCTGACTTGTGTCGCTCAGCATAATACCCTCAAGGTCCATCCATGTTGCGTGGCAGAGTTTTTATATTTGTATGTCTTCTTTCAATCCTGCATTGCACCTGCTGTGGGCTAACAAGCCTCCTTTTGCTTTAACAATGGTGAAGCTAAAGTTGAATTTTGTGAACTCTCATACCTACAAATTTGTTTCAGTATTCTGCAGTGCTCATTAGCTATCTGTCAAAGCTTGCTATTACTACTGTTGGGAACATGTACAAGTAGATAAGCTAAAGGGCAGGGATGTAGGTGAGGTGATTGAAGCACTAAGGTTACCTATGGACCAGTCGGGATGATCCATTGGTTGGGTGTCCCCAGAGGCTCATGGGCTGACTTCTTAATAGTTTCTGTGATGTGGTTAGTAGAATCCATATCCCTTTTTCCATTCAAGTGTGCTATCTGCCACTCAACAACCTCTTCCCAGGCCCCAGTCCTACAAATCACTGTTCTGTACTCTGGATATGGTAAGAGAAAAATGGGCCTCTTTGGCAGTGTCCAACACAGCCGCAGAAGCCAGTCACTGACTTACATATTCTCACTTTCCCTTGTGGTAGAAATTACAGAATAAAAGTTTCTATCTTGGCCTAAAATCTGCCTCTTGTGGAAAAGATGATTCTGGTAAAGTCAAACTGTTCCTCTTACTCTCTCCAAAGTTCCACTGGTATTAATTTTTTCCAATGGTATTATTTTGTTCTGGTGATGTCCTGTAACTTTCCTATTGTAAGTAGGGATTTATACAAGGGCTTTCTTGAGTGGGTGTTTGCTTATTATAGTGATCTACAAGGGATGTTGAACCATGGATGAAAAGACCTGGAGATGGTCACAGGCAGAGTTCACAACCAGGACCAAGCTCTGTATGCTATTGCACAATGCAGAAATGAGCAAGAATACTTCTGGTAACTGGTACATGGTGCTGAATACCACAGCTCTCACAGAAGCAATGTTGTCCATAACTGGATGCCAGTTGTTGTTGATGGAGGATATAAGTGTAAGGTGTATTATTTGGCCATTTTGGTAAAGCCTTAACATGTGATTTTTATCTTTTATTTTGTTAATATGGTATATCACCTTACTTGATTTTTGTATTTTGAAACATCCTTGATTCCAAGGTTAAGTCTCATATGGTCATAGTGTATAACCATTTCAAATTCAGTTTGAAGTATTATGTTGAAGATGTAAATCAATATTTGTCAGGCATATTGGTCTGCAGTTTTCTTGTATGTTTTTTTAATTTGGCATTGATATCAAGATAATGCTGGACTCATAAAATGAGTCGGGAAGTGTTCTCTGATTTCTGATTTTTTTGGGAATAGTTTCAAAAACATTGGTATCATTTCTTCCTTAAGTATTTGTAGAATTCACTATGAAGTCATTTTTATCCTTCACCTTTATTTACTTACTTTTATATTTATTATTATTAAATATTAAAGTGTTAATTTTAATTCCAAATAGATAATATACAGTGTTATATTAGTTTGAGATATACAATATAGTGATTCAACACTTCCATACATCACCCAGGACTAATTGTAAGTACACTCATTAAACTATCCCCCCACCTATATCCCTTCTAGTAACCATCGGTTTGTTCGTTATAATTAAGAATCTGGTTCTTGATTTCTCTCTCTCTCTCTCTATCATTATATTCCCATTACATCTTTGTAATGTTTCCTAAATTCCACATATGAGTGAAATCATATGCTATTAGTCTTTCTCTGACTGACTTAGGTTCTTAGCATTACATTCTCCAGCTCCATCCATGTCACTGCAAATGGCAAGATTCTATGCATTTTATGGTAGAATATTATATATATATTCAATATATAATATATTTTATGCATTTTATGGTAGAATATTATATATATATTCAATATATAATATATTTTATACTTTGAATATAGAATATATATTGAATATATAATATAGTGAATATATGTATTGTATATATATATAGTGAATATATATATTATGGCATCTTCTTTGTCCATTCATTATATGGCATCTTCTTTGTCCATTCATTAATCTATAGACACTTGAGCTGCTTCCATAACTTGGCTACTGTAAATGATGTTGCCATAAAAATTGGGGTGCATGTATACTGTTGAATTAGTGTTTTTGTATTCTTTGAATAGGTAGTAGTAGTGCAATTGCTGGATTCTATAGTAGTTTTATTTTTAACTTTTGGAAGAAGATCCATATTGTTTTTCAGAGTGGGTACACCAGTTTGCATTCTCATCATAACTGTAAGTGGGTTCCCCTTTATCTGTATCCTCACCAATACCTATTGTCTATTGTGGGTTTTTTGTTTTTGTTTTTGTTTTTTTTAGCCATTCTGTTAGGTGTGAGGTGATATCTCATTGTATCATTTCCCTGATGGTAAGTGATGATGAACATCTTTTCACGTGTCTGTTGGCCTTCTGGATGTCTTCTTTAGAGAAATGTCAGTTCATTTCTCCTGCCAATTTTTTAATTGGATTACTAATTTTTGGCGGTGTTTAGTTGCATAAGCTCATTATATAGTTTGGATACTACTCCTTTATCAGATATGTCATTTGCAAATATCTTCTCCTATTTTGTAAGTGGTCTATTAATTTTTTTGAATATTTCCTTTGCTGTGCAGAAACACTTTATGTTGATGTAGTATCAATAGTATATTTTGCTTCTGTTTGCTTCTGTTTTGCTTCACATAACAGATCTAGAGAAGAAGTTCCAAAGCTGATGGTTTCTATATTGTACACCCGAAACTAATATTGCACTATGTTAACTGGAATTTAAATAAAAATTATTTTTTAAAGTTCCCTTGGGTGTTTCAAAGAGGTTGCTGCCTGTTTTCTCATCTAGGATTTTGATGGGTTCCTGTCTCACATTTAGGTCTTTAATCCACTTTGAGTTTACTTTTGTGTATGGTATAAGAAAGTGGACTAGTTTCATTCTTCTTCATGTCACTGTTCAGCTTTCCCAATACCACTTGTTGAAGAGACTGTCTTTCTTCTTATTGGATATTCTTTCCTGCTTTGTTTGAAGATGAGTTAACTATATTTCTGGGATCTCTATTTTGTTCTATTGATGTATGTTTCTGTTTTTGTGCCAATTCCATACTGTCGTTCTCAGATTTTCACCATTGAGATGATATTAACTGTGGGTTTTCATATATGGCCTTCATTATGTTGAGTTGTGTTCCATTTAAAGGTACCTTGTTGAGGGTTTTTATCATGAATGGATATTGATTTTGTCAAATAGTTTTCTGGATCTATTGAGAGTATCATATGGTTCATATCCTTTATTTTATTAATGTGGTGTATCATGTTGATTTAATTGTAAATATTGAAATCCCCTTGCAGCAAAGTAATAAATCCCACATGATTGAGCCGAATAACTCTCTTAATGTATTGTTGGATTCAGTTTGCTGGTATTTTATTAAGAATTTTTGCATCCATGTTCGTCAAGAATATGGACCTGCATTCTTTTTTTTAGTGGAGTCTTTATCTGTTTTTGTTATCAAGGTAATATTGGCCTCATAGAATAAATTTGCAAGTTTTCCTTCCTTTTCTATTTTTTGGAATAGTTTTAGAATAGATACTAATTCTTTATATGTTTGGTAGAGTTCACTTGTGAAGCCATTCCATTGCAGAATTCTGCTTGCTTGGAGTTTTTTGATTACTGATTCAATTTTTTACTGGTTATCTTTTTTCTCTTTTTAGTAGTTTGAGCTTTGTATTTCTCCTGTTTCAGTTCTGAAAGTTTATATGTTTCTAGGAATTTATCTATTTATTCCAGGTTGTCCATTTTTTGCATATATTT